AAAATTCAATTTTTCATTTTTCATTTTTCCTCAAATTTGTCCGGGGATTGCGGTCAAAGTACCCGATCTCGATTGACCACACCCGGTACGAACCCATTCCCTTATCAGTACAAGTGTCGTGTCGACACGGGTGCGTAGGCTAAACTGAAGAGTCCGTGCAATACAGCTCTCGTCACCGCTTTGTACTCTTTATGTAAAATATGTAAAAAAAAGATTCATTTTAGCCTAGTGGAATACAACACAAGAAGTGTTGTCACGCTGTCAACTGACACCGACTCATCCCAAACTTTTATGAAAACTTTTGCCTGCCCAAGGTTGTCTTTAATTTTTTTAATAACTTGCACTTTATCAGTTCTTGTGTTGGTCAAGTATTTTATAGTTGTTTATCGTTGTATAATTGTTTAATCAATGCAGACCGTGGATACTATTCGGTGGAGACTGTCACACTTTTGGTTGCTCTCAAAGTCCGTTATAGAGACAGAATCACAATTCTTAGGGGAAATCATGAAAGCCGGCAAATCACTCAAGTGTAAGTCTTTTTAATATTTCTTTGAGTAATATTGTTAGTTTAATTTGGGGTGCTTAGAGATGGTTTATCTTTCGCAGAGGTTAGATTCAAAGAGCTATCCTTTTCATAGTTCGATCATTTGGTTTATAGATGGGCCTGTGGACTTTTTAGTGCGTCTGTTATGATATTTTTCTCGCCTCTTTGTATTTAGCTATATGAGATTATATGGCAGTAGAAAAATATGGAGGTCTAGTACTTCCTATTTTTCTTCCTATTATTTTTATTGCACAATATGGGCTTTTAACTTAATTGGAGGTCAGTGAGGATTCAAATAGCCAACCCCAACTTACTTGGAATCGAGGCATAGTTGTTTGTTGTTGTAGTCTCCTTTGTGTTTAGTTTTTAAATGTAGCTCGGCTGCTGTATGCTCTGATTTTTGTTTTTGTACATGCCCAGAGTCGATGCAAACACGGTTAGAAGAATGTTTAAAACCTTCTTAATCTACTCTGCCATGAAGTCCATGGAACATGTTTCATGAACTGACCAGAGAGTCTTAAACTGCCACTTGGCAAAGAAATTATTTCCATTCTAGTTTTGCTTCAAAAACAGTTCTTTTCTCTTTAATGAGTTATTGATACGCAATCAGCCCATATCCCTTTGCTCTTCTCGTCATTCCAGTTTTAGAAAATGATCTTGAAATAAATTAATCACTGGTTCTCTACCTTCTTCTATTTTTGTCATTATATTAAGGTAGGATTCAGGATAGACTATGTAGCATGATGCACTTGTGTGTGTGTGTGTGTGTATTATCATTTACTTTATCAGGTTAAGGAACGACATTGTGCTTGTTTGGACTCACTTTGTTGTCTTCCCACATGAGAAATGCCCAAAAAATGAGGTGGGGTTAAAAATTTCTACAGGAAAAGGTGGAAGATCTCTATTTTCTCTGGACAGTTGGAGTTTAAAATGGAAGAATAAGAAAATCTGCATGTTTATGGGAATATATTCTACTATTAATAGTTTGTTAACATGATTTTTATATCCAGAAATTGTATTAGTACAGGAGGGAGGATGAACGTTGTTCCTGAGGCTACGGAGAAAAAGGAGTTTATTCATTTTTTTCCCCTTTTTTTTCAGGGGGTTGGGTGGGAATGGTTCCCAAAATTTATGAATGATGAGGAACTTCAGGACAATTCAAATAAGGATGTCCCACAGTTTGTTCTTCTTTTGGAGTAATGAGGCCAAATATAATTTGATGTTATTCTATTTTAGAAAACAATGCATTTGTTATATTTAATCAAACCCCCAATGAGATATTAGCCACGAAGTTGTTTTTCTTCTATGAAGTAAGTTGTTTCATTAGTGGCATCAAGAAGATGTGATGGTTGCAAAAGAAGTATTGTTAGCTCCAGTGCATTTGTCTATGTCTAAGGAATGGCTTTAACATTTATACACTAACAGTATGAAGACATTATCAAGTTGCTTAAAAGCCAATTACGGGTAATTGTCTGTAGTAAATGTGAGTTAATGTGTAAAAATTGGTAAGTAACCTCTACCATTGCTTAAGCGTTAAACTACACTATAATGTAAAAAATCTTTACACTGTTTGGGATGTAATTTAAATCAGGAAACTGGGCTTTATCTGGAAAGAGTTGTACAACAACCCAGTAAAATCCCATAAGTGGGAAAGAACTATCTGGAAAGATATATATATATATATATATATATATATATATTGGAGAAAATTTTCATTCAAGTGAAGCAAAGTCTTGGTACATGATCTCCGTGAAACTTGCTCTCTGAAATTACTGACCCTTATATAGCCTGAAAACAAGCTTCAAAACCTTTGTCATGCCTGGACAAACTTCAATCATATACTATACTAAAGAAGGATATGTATGGAGTATGAAGATGATGTCATTTGGAAGCTTGGTTGTTAAGTTGCTACATCTTTAAGAAGTCTTCCTTCTTGCACTGGCCTTGGTAATACTGTGTGATTGAATACTTCCCCACTTGTGCGTGGTATTTTGGACTGTACTAGGCTGCTAGCTGCACCTCAATGTTTTGCTCCTTAACTACTCCTACTAGATAAAGTTCAATTACCTATCAACAAGAATTCTCCTTTTTGGGGATGAGCTATTTATGCAATTGATAGTCCACGCCCCTCAGCTTTGGTTTATGAAGGACCATATGACTGATCAAGTCATGGATGGAGTAATTTGATATACCTCTTTTCCTTCCAGGTATGGATTTTATGATGAATGCTTGAGGAAATATGGCAATGCGAACATTTGGAAGTATTTCACCGATCTTTTTGATTATCTACCACTGACAGCACTTATTGAGAGTCAGGTTTGAGCTCTTACTGTACTGACTTTTCATGTGAACAGAACTGCTGGCTGATATTACGTGCATTTTATCAATTTATTGTAGATATTCTGTTTGCATGGAGGACTCTCGCCTTCTCTGGATACACTGGATAATATCCGAGCGCTGGACCGCATACAAGAGGTACATAAATGGTTGTGAGATTTAAGCATTTGTATTTCGATGATATGTAACATAGTCTCTTTAGTATTTTGTCACTAGTGGCTCCCCTCCTGCTTGATCAATCTGACTCCTGCAGTTTTTTCCCTCCAAATTTTAGTGGCTGTCCTCGAAGAGATAGATCCTACAGCAACGAAGTTTAATTTCCTGTTTTACCTTCCAAAAAGTTTACCTCTTTGGTGCAACGACTTTCTTCCCATGACTCTGTTAACAGTAGTTCTGCAGAAATATCCAGTAGGACTACAAAGTCGGATCTGGAGATAGCAGTTATGACAGTTTGATCTACGGCTACCTCTATGTATATATACAGCAGCATTAATAACCTTTTGCTGCTATGCTATGCATTGGTATATCTATTCTGCTTAGAGACTTAGAGACGGCAATTAGTACCTTTTATCATCTGATATCTCCCTGTTTCTCATTCTGATGAAGTCTGATATCTCAGTTTTCTTATAGCTGCTCTGTTAACTTTTTGCTGAACCGTGCATATTTGCATCAGTGGTTTCCGTTTTCTCTTATGTCTCATGATATCAATTCTATGCACGTTAATGTTGCTGCCCTCATTGCTTATGCCTCTTATTTGGTGGTTATTAGGTTCCACATGAAGGTCCAATGTGCGATCTCTTGTGGTCTGATCCAGATGATCGGTGTGGTTGGGGAATATCACCTCGAGGGGCTGGTTACACCTTTGGACAGGATATAGCATCTCAATTCAATCACACCAATGGTCTGACACTGATTTCTAGAGCTCATCAGCTAGTCATGGAGGGTTTTAATTGGTGTCAGGTTTGTGGACCGAAACTGACGCACCACCTGCCATCTCTCCCCCTTTTGTTAGTTCTGTGGAACTTGATTTTAGAAAGCAGTTTGTGTTTTTTATTTTTTAACATGCTATTTGGTGGTGTAACTTTGGCAGGATAAGAATGTTGTGACAGTATTTAGTGCTCCAAACTATTGTTACCGGTGTGGTAATATGGCTGCCATCCTAGAAATAGGCGAAAATATGGAGCAGAATTTCCTTCAGTTTGACCCAGCTCCTCGGCAGATAGAGCCTGACACCACACGGAAGACTCCAGATTACTTTTTGTGATCCCAATACTTGCACTGATCGCCTGCAGGTATGTTTAACAAGAGGAGTTTTGCTGGTTGAGTGTTCTCGGCATCATTCTTTTGTTTGGAGCTTGACTACCTATGCCAGATGCTCATCAGAGTTGACAAAACGCCTTAATTGGCTTTTCATGTATATTTTCCCGAAAGGACCACATGCTCTGTAATTTTGAAATTTACCGTAAAAAGCAGGGGGGTCTCTCCCAAAGTTAAATTACCAACTCGTAATGTCTGTCATTCCAAATTGCATCTGGATCTCTTGATTTTAGAAAGGACATTCTAGTTTCCAGAAGAGATGAATTGGTGGTAGTAGGCATTTGTTCGTACCTTTAGTCTTCTGTAGTCGTTTTAGACGCAAAGATACTTTTCACTTTGTCTCTATTAGGATCATGTTTTAAATTTATTCTAATGATTACTTTCCAGACGAAGGTCTAATATTTGCAATATCCGAGGTTAATATTAGTTTCAAGTGCGATAAATTAAAAAAATTCCTGACGGTTAAGGAAATGCTTAAAGACCTTTATGAAGTTCTCAAATACATTTATGCAATGTCATCTGATGGGTCCTTTATTCTTCTTTCCATGATCGAATTTGAAGGAATTTAAGGTAATTGTTTTACATCTCTTGCCGAGAGGAAGATGCTGTTTTCTTGTTTCCTTTTCTTCCTATAGCTTTCGAGTTTCAAGGTGGAGATTTTCACTCCGAGGGATGTCGCGAATGAATCACCAATGTAATTCGAAATACGACACAGAATATCCTCAATATGTAATGGGTGGAGATTTACCTAAGAAAATGGAACTAAGTCAATAACACAATTGACATGAGAACAGCAAAGAAATAGCTTCAATTTTTTTTCTTCTTACACCTCGTTTCTCTTCTTAATACTCATACCAAATCAAGACAGGGTATTCAATAGGAAATCAAGTATTATTTGCCCTATGAAATACACACCTAAAGTGGAACAAACTCAACACAACATGAGAATCGCAAAGGCATTATAAAGCTAATAGTTAATTAAGCACCACGGAACTGATTTTGAAGATCGATTTATCCCCTAAATTTACACACAGAAGGCTGAAACAAGAAGAAGAAAAAAGCTTGTAAGTGAAGTATCAAGATAACAGTTTCCCCCCTGATATGCGATAACATGAGGCTGCTATTTCCTGGTGCTCGTGTTCAGATGTTCAGCTTCCAAAAACGGGTTCTGATAAATGTTCTTCCCGTGGAACCCAGTCGTATACCCAAGCTGCAAAGACCGGCCAGCTTTTTATGCATTTACAGCAAAAAATTTGGTGTACTACACAAGCTAGTAATCCAAATTTAACACCAAGCGTTCTGCATCAGCAGCCTGGCTCTTGTTTCAGCTGGATTCCACTTGTGGAGCCAAACATCATCGGCTAGAAAAACAGAACAAACTATAAGCATTACGACATGTTTGGAAGAAACACAGTTTCAGCAAAAACAGAGATCAATTTTTGTTAATTGCTGAGGTAGTCGCATTTCATTATAGTTAGAAGGGGGCAATTCCTGTTACATGGTGAAATTCGTATTAGGTGAGAGATTTAATAAGATTAGCAAACTAAATCTAAAATAGCATGCAAAAAGCCTGATTTTACCTGAGTCATACTAGGCAAAACACTACTAGCAAGTTCCTCATTCAACAAAACTGGGAGGGGTGGCATTTGGCTCATAATCCCTGGCATATTTCTCATGCTGCAGCATAAACAACACTATCACTACGTGAATTGTAATGACATCTAAATTCAGCCTGTCAAATATAAAGAATGACAACATTACTCGTTTAAAACTGCCTTTATATTATTTCTCGTTCGGATGAAGAGATCAATGTTGTCCTGCAACTGCCCATTCACACATTTTGATGTCAGATATCAGCTGATATGCATAACTGAATACGGTAAAGTATTGACAAACCCCTCTCCGTACCCAAAAGTTGCAACCAGAAATAAGACATAAAAATGAAGAAAAAAACGCAGTATGACATGCAGAATGAATTTGATGCAATCTTTTTCCCTCTTTTCAGGGAAATAGGTACACAGTACTTTTGCTTTGATATTTCACTGTTCTTTTTCCCCTTTCACCGGCTGAGGTGCAGGCAGGAGGAGGGCAATAAGCTAATTCTCATTTATTGTTTTTCCTGTTACGATAAAGAGATGAAAGAATCAAAAAGAAAAGACACGAAATAGAGATCAGATTAGGGGGCCAGGGGTAGATAGACTGAAGAAGCATCACCAGTCAGTTCTATTATACAATACAAATTACACATAGGTAAAGTAGCAAATATCTGTATTCTCTTGGTAGACAAAGTACCATACAAATAATTAATCCCTTATCATGAGCTAATCTTGAAATTCCCAACTGTTTTTTGTTAGAATGCATTCCTCGATAATCCTTTCATTTGAAAGGCACATAGTAAGTTGTTACATCCCACACAATTTGCAGAATTGCTAAACTTAACACAACAGTATAGGCTAAAACAAACAGAAAGGTAGGTGGTTTCCATCTCTTATGCATTCTGGACTTCTATTATTGCAAAAGACCAAGAATTTACATATGAACTTGCAAAGACAGAGTCGGGGTCTTATTACATCTCTTGTGGACTACATAAAAAGGACGGATTACAAGACATTATATTTCCACTGGAATAGTAAAAGTCCCGCAAATTATGGCGAATATCCTCAAGGAAACCAAATTCTTATTAGAAAATTTAGGAAAAACCTTTTTTCCAAATCTTTAATGGCTACTTGGACCTCTCCTGATTTCACCAATTCAGACTTCTACCACTTCACAGTGACCAGCTTCAGCGAAAATCCCAAGAGAAGGCTAACAATTAAGCACTTTCACAATTACTTTATTAAGAGTCACAGTTTTTTTTTTAATTAAGTTCAGTAAGAGTCGCAAAGTTAAGACTGTCTTGAAGGACAAGTTTAAATCCCACAACTTTTTTAGAAGCTGTTGAAACGCTTCGTAAATACTGGGTTCTGGGTGATTAATGCTCCAACTTATGACTTATATATGAGAATAAATAGAGGCAGGGAGCAAGCTGGGCCTGAACACCACCGTTGTAAAATAAAATGAAATAAAATAAATAGAGGCAGGGGAATGAATACGTTATCTTTTAATGCAAGGACCCAAGTAGAAATATATGTAGTACTCCAACATTTAGCATCTTACATTTCCTTTTCCCTTTCAATTATCAAGACTCCTACTACAAGAGGTTGAGATTAATACCTTGACTGTTGAAAGGTTGGCCGAAATTTGATTGAGAGCCTGATTGTTTTCTTCCAGTAGATGTCTTGTTCCAAGTAATGCTGTAAGCAACAAAAACCAAGTAAGTTTGTGAATAGGAGCCAATTGAAAAAATGAGACACACAATATGAACAAAGAATCACACAGAAGAAAAAGGAAACCATAAAGTGGCAAGAAAAAAGAAGATTTGAAGGCAATCAATTCTCAGCAAAATTTTTACCACATAACACTTAGTGACATCTTTTACATGTCAAATAATATTTACTGAACACCGTACCTTACAACATTGTACTAATCAACTTTTTAGCTTTGACACAAATAAATTTGTCGAATAGCTCTAGATTAGCCAATACATCTATGTAAGTGTCAATAAATCTTTTTGACTGATAAAAAGTAGGGTTCAGTGCATTCAAAGAAACTACCAAGATTACATTTTCACTTCCTGCTTCTATTAATTCTGATATACAATTCCTGCTTTGCAACACTTGAGTTAAATGTAAAAGGAACCCACACATAGGTGGTGGGACAGTTAGAGTAAGTTACGGGGCCTACATTTAGGTTTTTGGTCCAAATACAAAGTAGTTTGAATGTGAAACAAGCTTTTGTTTGTTTTTAAATTTTGCTGAAAACCAAACTAAGATTTCATAATAGCCCGCGAGGTTTTACAGGGTATCACTTGCACGCATCTCCTCTCCAGAAATATCTATATAAAATTATAAATTTAACTTTTTCACCTCATTATTATTTTTCAAATACACCTTCTGTTTTTATTTCAATCTATGTTTTTTTTTCCAAAATGTTGTAGGACAACACACACCACGTGGATCCCACCACAGGGAAAACTTTCTTGCAGATAAAGTCAAGTTGTAAGCACCCAAATTCTTCTGATTTCAAATTTTGAACATTCCTTTTCCATCCATTGGAACAGAACCGAGATAATCTTTAACCTGCTCCTCACCTTTATCAAGAAACTAATAATATCAAAATAAAACGCATAGTGACTCTTGTATAAGAAAAAAAGCTAGTAATGGTTAGCTTTAGCAGCTAAATAAATAAGTGGATTCTAAGCACACTTTTTCAAAAGTGTCACTAACTAGACACATATTATTACATTACTTTTAATAAGAAAAAGAACAGTCATCATTGAAGTTTTATCTCCAAGTATACCAGAGGTATCAACAGATGGTTACTTTTCTTTCGCTTGCCCAACTCCTATGAATTAACAGACATTAGCATTAGCATTCTTCCAAGGTTTGCCCAAAATCAATTTTTGACAAAGCAACTTTACCATCACTTCTATGTCTTTCCCTGTTTGAAGTAAAATAATAAATTACTCCCTCCGTTTCAATTTACGTGACACACTTTCCTTGTTAATTCATTCCAAAATGAATGACAAATTTTATAATTGGAAACAATTTAACCTTAAAATTTTAATGTTATCCATTTTCTCCTTAATGAGAAGCTTTTATAGCCACAAAAATGTTACGGACCCACAAAACTTTTACCCTTTAAGCTTTTAAGACCACAAGTTTAAAAAGTCTTCTTTTTTTTCTTCCTTAAATTTCGTGCCGAGTCAAACTACCTCACATAAATTGAAACGAAGGGAGTAACTTATTTCTCAAATTTCATCAATTGCATACACACAAGAAGCTTAATGAAATCTTGTTAGTATACTGTCACTATATGATAGTACTTTTCTGTACCATGTGAACCATAGATAAATCAAAAATGGTATATATTTTTTTCAATACATATAGTATTGAGCCATCATGGATGAAAGTTCTTTTACTCCAAGTAAAACCAGAAAGCAGTTTGTTCAAATTGCATGTTAATACAATTTATTTCTGTCAAAGAAAAAGCAGAACACGTTGATCCCTACAGCCAAACAGATGACACTAACCTGCCGAAGGGATATTTTCACCATGGTTACGATGATTTGAGGAGAGTGAATATGGAATGAAGCTCAATGGCGAAGCTGAGGATGTACCATTTTTCATGGATGCTTCTGCTGATTTATCCTGAAGAAAAATGAACTTCGTAATGTTTATCTTCTCAGTTAATGTAACACATACATAAGTGTGTGGTAACACATACACCTACAGACATAAATAAATGAACACGAGTACAGACAATTAATGACAAGTATTGTGAAATATTTAAAAAGGACAGTAAAACAAGAACTTCCAAACGATTCCAAAGAACTGTTTTCAGTACAAATTGAAGTATTACCAGTATAAATTTACCAGCAGGGGGTGTAAAACTAACTCCATATTCTACAGATTTAAAAAAATTTATTGCTCTTTTTCATATGACGGAAATTGTAATGTCTTGCTATAAGGACAAAGAGAAAAATCCATCTAACAAATCCTTGCCTGACACACACCAACACCAGTCTTGCTTTTAATATTCGGTAGATGATGTAATAGATACTATGACGAGCCATCTGTTTTCAGGGTATTAGTTGCACCTATCTTGCTCTTATCAACAAATTTATTCACCAATTGAGAAAGATGTTTGTAAGCTTAAAAACTGATATGATTGTATGAGCAACAACAACAACAACAACCCAGTAGAATCTCACTAGTGGGATCTGGGGAGGGTAGAGTGTACGCAGACCTTACCCCTACCCCGAAGAGATAGAGAGGCTGTTTCCAGGAGGCCTTCGGCTCAGAGACAATAGATCCATAACAACAATAGAAACCACAAAAAATAGTATCCGCATCTTAAAGGACAACAAATAAATGGAAAGGCCAAAAAAGAAAACACAGTGTGAAACACAACAAAAACCGCTAGCACTAGACAAAATACTATCAGGCTAGCCGGCCTGGTTGATAAAGACAAACTGGTTGATAAAGACAAAAAGCAAGTCCAGGAAAAAAATATATAAACATTTAAGCAAGACATCAGATCTACTGATTTCACTCTAGATGCCACATTAAGTTATAAGGTCAACGTTTCAGAAAGGTCACAAGCAGAAAGGAAAAGACTTGGTCTTGAGAATCCATGAGATTTTCCATAGAATCCAACACTGAAATCTCAAGTCTATTTGGCATTTTATAGATAGAAATGATGGCAAAGCTGGAATACGTTGCTAGCACTACCTCGGTCCTCACATCTTTAAAATTAAAAAATACAAAATGTGTTAACACAATCAATTGTTCAACTCTCCAAATACTAATCATATCACGTCAAACCGAACAGAAAGCTAATAAGATAAAACAGCATGTTGCGATTTCTTCACCAAGACACGGACAAATGACTAATGTAACACCTTAAGTCCTAACTGATGATAAGAATTGCAAAAACCTCCAAACAATGATTCAAGATTCAAAGAATTTAAAGCCTAAGCAATTGACTTTCAATAGTTAAGTGTTTCTTTTTGCCCTTAGATAAGCTAGTCAAAGTCAACTTCTAAATACTAGACCAAACAAATAAAAAAGTCACTTCATAATACAATACCAGGAAAGGAAGAAAAGATGAAAAGAGAAAGTAGTTGCTGGCACACCTTCCTGTCTTTCACTTTCTTCCCCAAACTGTAGTCTTCCTGTTTTCTGCGCTTTCTCTGACAAACAATCAGTCAAAGCAAGTCTTGTTCAAAAAGCATAAGCCATCAACTAAAATTTATTTAGTGAAATTAAAAGAAAAGCATTCTTCAGATATTAATTACTACAATATTTAGAAAAACTCACCAAATTATACTGTTATTGCTATGGAAAGATACCACTAAAAAGTTTACTTTTTCAAAATAATAATAATAATAATACAGGTCCAGTAGCTCACCGTCATCCACCTACATCTTAATGCAACATCACGTACAGTTTTGTCGCGGAGTGCGGCTGCAATCTTAATATACTTCATTATACTGGGTTCATTAGCAAACCTATTATCAAAACACTGACAGTCATACATACACATCGATGGGGGAGAAAAGATGACATGAAACAGCATCGGACATCAAAACAGATTCTAATTCAAAGAAAGTTCTGATCAGTCCAAGGAGTATCAGGCTCGTGAAAAAGCATTTTCAAATTCATTTCCTTAATAAATTTTACAATTTTCATTTACGGTTTTCAGTTATTCATCAAACTAGCTTGGATATATATGAAATTTCCAATTGGGTAAGCAGAACAAACCCCAGCAGTGAACACTATGTGCCAGCCAATCATCAACTTACAGCTACTGAAGTCCTAATTAAAAGTCAAATGTAACATAGTTAAACAACCAACTAATTTGTTAAAAAATGATCTTGATTTGGTTCCAATTAGTTAACAATCAAACCCCGAACAAGACAAGATAAGTAGCAGTTTCTGACTCTTCCGCAAAAAGTGGGAATCTTTTGCTGCTTTTTGCTGGGTTAGGGAAAGTGATCATCTCATTGTTTTCATTTCACTACGCCAGCCCATCATTTGACTGTTTTCACCCCCCTCCCCCCCCCCCCCCCCCAAAAAAAAAAAAAAACCCAACTGCCTTGAGAGATGGATGAAAGAAATGTTCATCTACGGAGGAGAGTTACAGACAGCGCATAGTGAAACAAGAGATAATCATAATGGAGGAAAGGAAAAAGTTTTTTGACAATTAGGAGGAACGGGATAATGTTGTCAAGAAGATTGGAAGGGCTAAACAACTTTGCAAGGATGTTCTCTTTATATGGTTAAACCTGGAAAGCCTCAAATTCAAGTGTTCCCACTTGGCTCACTTTTGAAAAGTTACCTCAGAAAGAAGGGATGCTTCCTCCACCGAAAAATTAAAAAGAAAAAGAAAAAAAAGACAACGTAACCTACTTTCCATCATCTCGAGATATAAAATTTACAGTTGAATCTATGGCATTAAGAAGTAAAATTTGAAACTATGCAGAAAATATGAATCGCAAACAAAATGGGACTATCCATTACCTAAACCTAGACTCGTACTCCGGGTGCACTTGATCATAAAACAACTGATGGGCATTATAAATTGTGTTCGATCTTAAATTAATTTCATTCTCATGTATGTTTTATTTCCAGGGAATACAGATTCTTTAACTTCTATACTACACTAAAGTAAAGTGTCTGTGTGTGCAAGAGAGAGAGAAGACTTTACACGTGATTGAACCATAAAATAATTTGCTAAGAGATCTCTGTTCCCAAAGCTTCTAAAATAATTCTATAACCACTTTGACGAATTTTCCATCGCACTAACTATGTTCATGCAAAAAGAGGAGAACCGCATTAATTGATAGCTCAGACACTGACAGGAAGTTATTACCAAGAATAACCCAGACCAGTAGTCTTGAACGTGAAGTGAAAGAGAGTAGGAAGGGGTTGGAGTTTGAAAACACATCCGCAGTCACAAGAAGGAATTTTTCCAGAACACATCCCTCAGAGTTGGCAATGGTCTGCATATTAAATTCTGGAACGACTAAAGTATTGGCAGCACAACCCTACAGGAATCCTACCCAGGGTTATTATCAGCTTGGATATAACAAGGATGCTTTTATTGCCCAATATAGAGAAAACAATAGCTGAAACCCCACATTTATGAGAAATCTTCAAGATTGGAAAATCAATGAACTACTCACACTCCTTGCAGCCTTGGAAGACTATAGCTTTAATCCACATCAACCCACTCCTTGCAGCCTTGGAAGACTATAGCTNCTCCTGAAAGTATTTTTTCTCTGACAAAGTGACAATCGATCTCAATGTGTTTAGTCCTCTCATGAAACACCGGTTTTGACGCAATATGAAGAGCAACATGGTTATCACACACTAGTTCCATCCTGTTGATTTCTCCGAACTCTAACTCCTTGAGCAACTGCTTGACCCAAACTAACTCACACGTCGCCATAGCCATGGCCCGATATTCGGCTTCGGCGCTAGATCGAGCAACTACATTTTGTTTCTTGCTCTTCCACGAGACCAAATTACCTCCTACTAGAACACAATATCCAGATGTCGATCGTCTATCAGAAGGTGATCCTGCCCAATCAGCATCTGTGTACCCAACAATCTGCTCGTGGCCTCGATCCTCGAATAGTAATCCTTTGCCTGGAGCTGACTTTATATACCGAAGAATACGAACAACTGCATCCAAGTGACTATCACAAGGAGAATCCATAAACTGACTTACAACACTCACCAGAAAAGAAATGTCAGGTCTAGTCACTGTGAGGTAATTCAATTTTCCAACCAACCTCCTATATCTCGTAGGGTCTCTAAGAGGCTCCCCCTGTCCAGGCAGAAGCTTAGCATTCGGATCCATAGGAGAGTCAATAGGTCTACCCATCATTCCAGTCTCCTCAAGAATGTCCAAGGCATACTTCCGTTGTGAAATAACAACACCTGAGCTAGACTGAGCGACCTCAATACCTAGAAAATACTTCAGTCTGCCCAGATCCTTAGTTTGGAAGTGCTGAAAGAGATGCTGCTTCAGATTAGTAATGTCATCCTGATCGTTGCCAGTAATAACAATATCATCAACATAAACCACCAGATAAATACACAAATTCGGAGCAGAATGCTGATAAAACACAGAGTGATCAGCCTCACTACGAGTCATGCCGAACTCCTGAATAATTGTGTTGAACTTACTAAACCAGGCTCGAGGGAACTGTTTCAAACCATATAGTGACCTGCGCAATTTGCATACACAACCACTAAACTCCCCCTGAGCAACAAAACCAGGTGGTTGCTCCATATAAACATCCTCGTCAAGATCACCATGGAGAAAAGCATTCTTAATGCCTAACTGATAAAGAAGCCAATGACGTACAACAACCATGGACAAAAAAAGACGAACAGATGCTACTTTATCCACGGGAGAGAAAGTATCACTATAATCAAGCCCAAAAATCTGAGTATATCCTTTTGCAACAAGACGAGCCTTAAGCCGATCAACCTGGCCGACTTTGACTGCATAAACCCAACGACAACCAACAGTAGACTTACCTGCAGGAAGAGGAACAAGCGCTCGCATGTAAAGCAGACATCTCGTCAATCATAACCTGCCGCCATCCAGGATGAGATAATGCCTCACCTATAGACTTAAGAATAGAAACAGTGGACAAAGAAGATATAAAAGCATAATGAGGTGACGACAAACGATGATAACTTAGATCAACATAGTGGGGATTAGGATTAAGTGTGGACCGTACACCTTTGCGGAGTGCAATTGGTTGACTAAGAGGAGACAAGTCCGTAGTAGGTGCAGAATCTGATGCAGGACGTGAATCACCTGGGCCAAATGTTGGATGTGGACGGTGATGATAAGTCAAGAGTGGCGGAGCTGCAGAAGGTTGAACTGGATTATGTGGGGAAACATAACAGAGAATGAAACTTGGTTCTGGATAGCTGAAGATGGCATACGATTAACAAGATAGCAAGATGTAAGAACTGCATCCCCCAAAAACGCAATGGAGCATGAGATTGTATGAGTAGGGTACAAGCAATTTCAATAAGATGTCTATTATTTCTTTCAGCTACCCCATTTTGTTGAGATGTGTACGGACAAGATGTTTGATGAATAATCCCATGAGATTTCATAAACTGCTGAAATGGGAAAGACAAATACTCTCGGGCATTATCACTACAAAATGTGCGAATAGAAACCCCAAATTGATTTTGAATTTCAGCGTAAAAGGTCAGGAGAATAGAAAACAACTTAGATCGATTTTTATCAAAAATATCGAGGTGCACCTAGAATAGTCATCAATGAAACTAACAAAGTAGCAGAATCCTAAGGTAGAACTGACCCGACTAGGACCCCAAACATCTGAATGGACTAAAGTAAAAGGTGACTCTGCTCGATTATCAATACATCGAGGAAAATGAGAGCGAGTATGCTTACCGAGCTGAGAAGACTCACACTCTAGAGCTGACAAGTGAGATAAACTAGGTACCATTTTCTGAAGTTTTGACAAACTAGGATGTCCCAACCGTTTATGTAATAAATCTGGTGAATTAGTAACAGGACAAGTTGTTGAAGGAAGACAAGATGTGAGTCCATGTGATTTAGCAAGGATAAGGTAATAAAGTCCATTTGATTCACGCCCGGTACCAATGATCCCCCCTGTACTGCGTTCCTGTATAAAAACATGATCATCAAGAAATAAAACGGCACATTTAAGTGATTTGGCTAGGCGACTAACAGCTATGAGATTAAAAGGACTATTAGGGACATAAAGAACTGAATCAAAAGGTAAGGAAGGAATTGGGCTTGCTTGACCTATTGCAATTGTCATGGTTTGAGACTCATTGGCCATTGTGACTCTTGGAAGAGATTGAGAATACGAAATAGTAGTGAAAAGAGATTTGTTACCAGAAATATGATCTGATGCACCTGAATCAATGGCCCAAGACTCAAAGGATGAAGATTGAGAACGCAAGTCACGCTATTACTTGTTTGAACAACGGAAGCTATCTCAGAAGATGTCTGCTTACCTGCTTTGTACTGAAGAAACTCAAAATAATCCACTAAAGAAATCATCCGACTATTTGAAGTATTGGTTCCCATGTCGCTACAATTAATAGTAGTAGGGTTAACTTGAAATAGTGAAAATTAGTAACTCCTTTGGGAAAATTGAAGAAATCGCTGAGAAAACACTGTTTACAGCAGGAAAACAGAACACTGTTCTACGCCGGAAAACACTATTCACGCCAGAAATACTATAGCTCTCGGAATATTACTTTAGCAACCGGAAAAAATTCAAAGTGGTTAGGATCGGAATTACCAGACGACCCAACTGTTCTGAAGAAACTTTTTTCCAAAAAATGGCCGGAAGTCCACTTCTGAAATCACTATTCACGCCGGAAAAATATAAAAGTGGTCGGAATTTGGTGTAACTTGGATGGGGTAGGCTCGGAATTGCAAGGGAAACAATCTGTCTTGAAGAATCGTCGCCAAAAAATGGCCACAAGGTGGCCCACACGACGTCAGAACTTCGCCGGAAAATTTTCTTCCGACCGCTACACTACCGCCGGAGATTTTCACTGGGGTTTGGTCGCCGGACAATGACAACTCTTGTGGTAGTGTTGGATTTTGCACAACACTAATCGAGACAAAGCAGACGCAAAACAACTTTGAAAAGTCGCCGGAAAAAAGGGTTTCGGTGACTGATTTCACTTCCCGGAATCGCTGGAATTTATGCACAGCGATAAATCTCTCACGATAGCTCTGATACCATGTGAGAAGGCACGGGAGAAAATATGATATATTGATATTGTGTGTTCAATACAATACAAGAGGTCATTATTTATAGCTATACTATACAAGGACACACTACTCCTGTTCTAATGTGGAACAAGACTACATTATGTACATATCTAACAGCTTTAATCCACATCAACCTGACAAAATCTTGGGGGGAAGCTCTAAAGAAGGGAGGTACACCATCAAAGATGGTTATCATCATTTGTGCTCTCAGAATGGCATCCTTGAGGATTGGCCATGGAAGCATGTGTGGAAGATTAGACTACCTCTCTAGCACTTAATGGAGCATGCCTAACACAGGACAACCTCAATAAAAAAGGCATAACCTTAGCAAACAGATGCTATTTGTGCCACCATAGTTCAAAGAATGTCAGCCACCTATTTCTACACTGCCCACACACAGCTGATCTCTGGAACTTCTTCCATTCTATTTTTGGTTTACATTGGGTCATGCCTCATACCATCAACGAAGCATTTATTAGTAGGCATTTTTGGAGAGTTGATAAACCATCAGAAGAATCTGGAGGATGATCCCAGCCGTAATTTTTTGGTGTGCCTGGACTGAAAGGAATAGCAGGTGCTTTGATGGGATCTCAACTCCAACTTACACTCTTAAGGCCAAATGCTTGGTTAGATTGTTTAGCTGGCATTTTCATTCCCCTGTAAACAATGTTGATAATTTTTTGAATTGTTAGCTCCCTGATTCTAGCATAGACATCATTCTGGAGCTAACTTTTTTGCTACCTTGTATTTTGCATCTTCTGATGCCTTTTATTAATGATAATTACTTGCTTCATCAAAACAAAACAAAAAAAGAGTAGGAAAAGAAATGTCGCATGGAACAAGAATTTGGTGGTAGACATTAACATGCACAAACCAAATAAGCTTTCAAGGACAAGCTTCTACATGTATTATTCACAGGGATGGATTTTATATGGATGTGGAAAGCAAGGGATATAAATTAAAAGAAATTAAATGTTTAGAAGATTGATCAGTTTTAGGAGCAGTATAAAAGGTGGAGCTACTCATATAGTTTTCACATGCATTTACATACTTTTGCAACTTTTTCAGTATAATGTGCTTCAAGATTCTGTTAAAGGAATTTTCATTAATTTTTTGACTCCTCTACCGTGTAGAATTTTCTGGAATAGTATTTCAAACTCTTTATGGTGAAACTCATAGTTCTACTAATTTGGATTTGTTTAGTCAAAGCATTAGAGGTATATTATCTATTCTTCATTGTTTTCGGAATCCTTATTTTTCTTTTGATAAGTTGATTTATAGATTTCTTTTTTTATATCGGTGTAACTAAGCCACCAAAACTTACACAGACCAGAACCTAGTGCATTTTTCTTTTGTCTTGCTGAAATTTGAACCCTGATCTTATAGATTCCTTTTCTATGCACTATCAGCCTCAGTCAATTAGAAAAAAAACTACATATTTACTTCATGCGCCGGCTAATAGAGAATTTGAATACACAATTATATGATGCAAGTCTAATCTTATCTCCAAAAAAAAGTATATATTTCCCATAAATGCTTGGACTACAATTTGTAGGGATAAGGTCTGCGTACACTCTACCCTCCCCATACCCCACTTGTGGGATTTTACTGGGTTGTTGTTGTTGTTGTTGTATTATACGAAAATTCATTTAATCCTCAAGTGAAATTAACGACAAGAAATCCTATGAAACTCCAGAAAATAATAACTAGTGAAACTCCTTCCCATTTTATATAACACTCTTTCTATTTCAGGACATTTGAAATGTTTGACATGCGTCAGTGATAATATATACGACATTCAACTTTCAAGAGTTCAAATACATTTAACTATTCAAAATTTAAATTGATGTAATATTTCCACTAACAAACTAACTTTATTCAGCCTTACTGCACTATTTTCTACCACTATCACTAATATCTATATATACAAATCAAATTAACATGTAAACTCCATGCACAATAAAATGGTGTCAAACAAAAATGGAACGATGGATTACCAAATATATACAGAGATGAAAATTTTTGCAGTAAAATGTAACAAACATGGATAAAAGAAAATGCACATCTCAGCATACACACACACATCCAGAGACCTGGAAGAAACTACCTACTTGATAAGTCCTTCATCCAATTTGTATTGTTCCTCAAGGGTCCACTCTACCGCCAGCCCAGTGTCATGCTTGAGCCCCGGCACTGAATCAATAAGAAAAGAACTCGAACAACCTCCAGATTGACCCATTACTGAATTATTGTTGCTACTCCGGCCACTGTTTGTCATCACACTTGGATTCCCAGAAAACAACATCCCTCCTCCTCCTCCACCATTATTATTTACATTGAAATTCATTCCGAGGTTATTGTAGTAATTGCCCATCAAAATCATCTCAGACGATGAGCTCCCCAACGCCCCCGATTGAAACGATAAAGCTTGGTGATGAAACCCTGTATTAGAAGACTCTGCAGCCATTCCCATACATATACACCTGTTACCTAACTCCTAAATCCACTCAGAATCTACTATTGCGTACAATAACATTCTAACAGAATAAAACATCCGATCATAGCTCCAAAACCCCCAAATAAACAAAACCCTAATTTATCAAAAAGTGTTTCCGGTACACAAAATTGGACAATATAATTGAACTACAAAATAGGGGAAATTAGGTTAATCAATCCGTCCCACGACACGATTGTCCCCAAAGCTTCCTTTTAAAATCTCAACTTTTGGCAAACTGATAGTTGAGAAAGTTAACCCATCACTGAATGCAGCAGACTCAGTGAATAAAAAAATGAAACCCTAACCAAAACAGAATGAAGAAAATAGCAAATGTTTTAGTGGATGTACAATGAGAAAAGATATTTAAAATTGACATAAGGGAGAAGAAGAATATACCTTTTTTCTGAGTGCAGAATTTTATCTTTTTTGTCTAAGCCTTGTTTATATTTTCAACCACAAATAATAGTAAAAATATAAGTTGGATGGGTGTCAAGTGTGTGATGTTAGTGGTACTGTTTACAACTTTTAGCTCAAATGGGTTCNAGCAGCAACAAAGTGCGAATCCCAATAAGCAGTTGATGCAATTATTGTGACAGTTCACTCTACCCTTTTCATATTTTTGTTTTACTCCCTCTTTTGTGTTTTCTTCTTCTTGTTGTTGGTTCTTGTTGTTGTTGGTGCCGTGGTGGTAACAGATGAGCAGGTGAAGTCAGGAATTTTATTTAGAGTGTTTAAATTTAAAAAAAAATAATAATAATAAAGAGTGTTTAATATATATTATATATTTTATTTATATACTATACAATTTTTCGATGAAATATAGTCATTTGACCATCTTTAGACTACGTAGCTTCGCCCCTAGTGAATGGATTAGTACTCCACTTTCGCCTTACCTGCGTTTCATAGAAATGCATGTAAGAGTATGTTGTGGTAGGATAGTAAATACCAAGGGTTCATTTGGTGTGCGGAGAAGGTGGGATAAAGGTTGGGACTAAGTTTATATTATATTTGGTGATGATATAAATTTATATCGTCAATCAAACATAATATAAACTTAATCCTAGACTTATTTATAGCATGTTTCGCCAAGCTTATCCAAGTTGAAAAGCATTTTTTTTTCGTGGAAAATGCTTTTTCGAAAGTTGAAGTGTTTGACCAAGCTTTTAGAAGAACAAAAAATGCTTTTGAATAAAAGCAAAGCAATTTTGGAGAAGCGGAAAAAAATAGCTTCTTTCCATAAACACTTTTTTAAGAAGAACTTTTGAGAAAAATACACTTAAAAGTATTTTTTAAAAGCTTGGTCAAACGCTAATTGATGCTTAGAAGTACAAATCAAATTAATTAGCCAAATACAAAATACTTCTCACCAAAAGTATTTTTAGAAAAAGTGCTCTTAAAATATTAAAAAAAAAAAAAAAAACTTCTCAAATTAAGCTGATTTTTTCAGCCTGGTCAAATAGGCTATTAATCCCAGATATCTCATCTTATCCCACACTTATCCCATCAAACTTGGTATTATTTTATCTCACCTTTGAGGCGGGATAAATTAATTTAGGGATTATAATCCCGGAATCATTTAGTTCGTGTACCAAATGACCCCAGAACTTGTTTGGTACGAAAGATAAGGAATAATTAATTTTGGGATTAAATTTGAGATGAGCTTATCCCAGTTTGGTTGGAATAAAATCGTGATATACCTAATTATGGGATTACTTATCCGGGGATTATAATATTATATATATCCTTATGAGAGGGTGGGATAACAATTCCGGAATAATTAATTCTGGGATAACTTGTTTCTCGTCAACGACCCATAAGTATATTTTCATTTTCAGTAAGAAGTTTTGAATTCAATCTTGACAAAAAGTAAGTACATAACATTCCTACATCTAAGGTGAAGCTTTTCGATGCGAAATCCAAATTCAAGTTTAAGTGTGTAATGTGCACTTGATATTTATGATAGTTTTTTTTCAAAAAAGAGCTAAGAAAAATATTGAAGACATTTGACCGCATTTAATATACTAGAATTTAGTGTATTTAAATACTATAAAACAAAATACTACTCCTAACTAGGAAATGTTTAAAAGATAGGAAAATATTCCTAATTAATGTTAAAAGATAGATTTCTTAATCTGTGTAAAAACAATCAAAAAATTACTTATTTTGGACCGGAGGAAGTACCAAATTTGTCAATTTATTAAATTTTTTTGTAAGGATAAGAAGCAAAAAAAATGAAAACTTTATACTAATATTGTGTCGCTTTAGAGGGAGATAACTTTTCATAGACCAATCACAAGGACACCAATGAAAACGACATCAAACGCACCTAACAAGATGAGTTCTCCTTTTAAAGCACTAATTAATTAATTAATTATATTTTAAGGGCTGTAAGTATCCTAATTCCTAGGTCCAATTGACAGTGACGAAAATGTTGTTCATAGCAATTTTATTTTACAAGTTTTGTAGGATAAAATTTTAGTATTTATATATTGTATATAGTACAGAGGATATGCAGGCTGGAGAATAATTATTTGAGTATCTAAGGTTGACAATAATATTGTTGCAACGTAGCTTAAAATAAGTGACGCGGCGTACGGACTATGAGAATTGTTCTCCCTTTTTGATTAAAAAAATACTCTTTTAAATAAAATATTTTCCGCCAATTCAATGTAAATGGAAGATAATTTCAGTAAGGAATTAATATATTTTTTTTTTTGGGATAACGTATTCCGGTCATACCATTCACAATTCACACCAACGTAAAATATGGCTTATGGATTTGCTAGATGAAGATGCAATTATGAGCATTAATGGAATGTTTGATTTCTCCGCAACATTATTTTTGGGCAAAGTACACTTTTAGTCCGGGAGCGAAACTATTAATATTCAGTAGGCATACAAGTATATAAAATTATATATATATATATATATATATATAATACACAAAAATTATATATATTTTGACTATTATTTTGGGAGCGGCTATACAATGTCATTTTTATATTTTTTTCTTAGTTGGGTTTATCCATTCAGTGTCTGATATGTGTATATTGGAGTCCGATTATATTCGGATTCGTGCAGTGTAAGGCTCATTTAATGGGGAAGCGCTCCCTAATATAATTTTTTTTCGTACCCAAGGCTCAAACCACATACCTCTGATTAAGGATGGAGAGATTTTATCTATCTCACCATAATGCGTGTTGGTTGCGCAAATAACATTGACTTATGTAATATATGATGATTTGCTACCTATTACTTTGAAGAATCTAATAATGCACAATTTAAGAATATTGCGTTGTTGTTTATTCCGAGCGCAAGGCTGTTTGCACCCTAGGAAAAACATAGGGAGTAGATACTACGAACCATTTAGGAGTCGTCTGCAATACCTTATAATAACCAAATAATCCCAACATAAAATTTTGTATAAGTTGTACAATATTTGATTCGTCATACAAGAAAAAATCATTGCCCTATAAATTAACACGACATTTGGTTAGCGTTATTAAACTTCAAACTGTTGATATCACCATAAGTTGTGGGAATTTAAGAATTATATTTTATGCGATGATGGGTTCAACCTATGGATTCAAAATCAATAAACTTATTATATTTTTATAATTATAGGTTTAATATCTAATAAATATTTCTGATAATTTTAGTGACTTTTGCATACTTCTTATGCTTCGTCTAAAAAACATAGGGTTAAGCTAAACAATATAACCATACTGTCCATTGTTATGGACGATATAACATGAAATAAGAATACGTTAATAGAATCATCTACGGACAAAAAAGAATCTTTAATTTAAAATAAGTAATTCTCGCATAATCACCCATAAGGGTGTACATAAGCCGGGTTGGTTCGGATTTTACAATTACCAAACCAAACCAATTGTATCGGATTATTAAATCTAAAGACCAAACCAAACCAATAAAACTCGGGTTTTTCACTCTTGGTTTTTCTCGGGTTTTCGGGTTATTCGGATTTTTTCGAGTTTTTTTTCCAGTAAAATCTTCGTAGAACAAAACATATAAATTATGGTCCAAATATTTCTTTAGTCCTAGTAAGATACAACTATATAAAGTATTTTTCAAGAAAATAATAAAAAATATGAGATATGTCATGGCATTATCCTAAAATATTCAACAATAAAGACAATAAAATTATGTAATATAAATATTGCTAATTAAAAAGCCATAATAAAAATAAACATAATCTAAAAGTAATAAGTCATGCTAAAATAAGTAGACTAATAAGGGAGTATTAAATACATGACTAAACGCTAAAGAAAAAATAAAAATAGGTTATGCATTTTTATCTAAATTATTGCAAAACAAAAAATAGATATTCAATACATTCTCGTTCGTAGTATTGAATTAAATGCTTTTTGTTAGCATTAGTATTGATTTGATTTTGGTTTGGGCTTTTGTTAGCACTATTTAATTTACTAATGTTAATGGCTATAAAACTTATTGGAACATTCAAAAGTTCTAAGTCCAGCATTAAAATAATATCTCAAAAGATAAAATTATGAAATCTTTTAAGATATATTTATAAATTACATCACAATAAATATATTTATATATTAAATATATCTAAAATTTCTATATATGTAATGTCGGGTTTCAGGTTGGTTTGGTTTCAGTTTGACTTTCTTTAGTTAAAACCAAACCAAACCAATTATGGTCGGGTTTTTTTTCCACCACCAAACCAAATCAAACCAACCCATAGTCGGATTTTTTTTCTCGGTTTGACTCGGATTATCAGGTTGGAGCGGTTTGTCGGTTTTCTTTGTACACCCCTAATCACCCATATACTAATTTTTTTATACGTGTCACTTCTTCATACAAGAAGTTAGCTATAGCTTGTCATTCTCATCATGTCCCAACGCCCGTATATTAATCATTATTCAAAAGAATAATAATCGTTGTGTTGTATTATGAGTCCTTGCATAAATAGCATATCAACTAAACAATACTTCAGATAATTGGTGCTCGGGGACTTATAAAGTCATATGTAAATCAAAAAGGTTGTTCCACGATTATCAGGATTTATGGCTCTTCAATGTAGGTTTTCTGTTGCCCGCTTGAATAGGATATCCTATTGAAGAATGTAATGGGATGGAAAAATCCTTCGTCTTTAACTAGATGTCAAGTTCAGAGAACGAAGAAATATCTAGTAAGAAGTGTTTCTCTTTTAATAAGTCTTGTGCAAATTTAAATTAGTCATCGATGGGTAACGCTGAATACAAGTGGTGAATCTAGATTGTCACTTGTGGGTGCTCAAACACCCATTATCTTTTACTAGATTTAGTAAATTTACAAAGAAAATAAAAAAAATTAGATAAATATTGAGTGAGCACCCATAATTAAACTCATTTTCTTCTTCTTTTAGAAATTTTTATCGGCGAGCACCCACGACTTTAAAATTCTGGATCCGCCACTGCTAAATACCGAATATGATTAAAAAAAAATTGAATAGGATAGGATGTATCCCTCTTCTTTTCTCATCATTCTATCATTAATGTAGTGAACTTTTATATTTGAAATATTTATTTGAAGAGTAATTTCAAAAGATAACCATTTTTATTCACAAATATTCAACTTCTTTTTCTAAGTGCAATTCATGTCAAAACATAAAATTCTATTTGCAAATACCCTTTTTCATAGTGAATACTTTATTTTTTGAATTCAATCAAATATTATCCCAAAGCCTAGAAAATTTCTGAACATCTTAAGCAGACTTCTTGGACACAATATCTAGCTAGATTAAAGTCAGGGCAGTTATTAAAAGATTCTAAAATCGGATTAGAAAATGGTCAACTAAAGAAGAACTCATTACTTTAGAAATGTATATGACTTTTTCAAAGCAAAAATATTAACATTAGATGGTTGGATGTATAAAGAAGATGTTAACCCTACTTTTTTCACGATGTGACTAAAGATATGGAAATTACATATGATAAAGAAAGGCGATGGGGAATGAGTTGAGTGAGACAGGAAATTAAATTTTTCCTGTTTTGTCTCATTTTTTTTTAGCTCCTAGACGTGTCACTCAAGAACTGGTGACATCTAAAGTACAGATATTTCACCCTCAATTAAATGATGGACCTTTCGAAAATGAAATATTCATTGAGGGAGAATGATTTGTTTCAAGTTTAGAGACAAAAACAAAAGAAAGTGATGTGGGTAAAAAAATTAAGTATATATGTGGGTAATTTACTCGTCTAACGAAAAAGAAACAGAGGATAATATGTACATATAGGAGGGGTTGGTAAGGATTTTTCTTATGGTAAATTTATATTTTACCCTCAAGCTAAATGCAGTTAATTGTATGATTAATAAATTAACTGAGAGAAGGCCATTGCTATCTTGATGAGTTAGAGTGGTCGTTATTTTTCACTTTACTGATACGTGTTGTCATTTAATAGATTCACATGGCGAGTCTATTCTCCACTGATAGAAAAGCACCTAAAGAATAAATATCTATAAAGTTAAGGTATCATTCAGTACTATAAAAGAAGAAGAACCAATATTTAAAGAGGTCAAGAGTCTTACTATAAGAATTTGCCAAAAAAGCATGTCTTAAATTCCGATATTTTGCACGTAAGATTTTGAAGCTTCATATAAATAGATATAGATAAAATTGAATCATGAAGATTGAAACAAAGAGTTTTAAAGGTGAAATGAATGGTGAAAAATATCAAGTAATTAGATTTACAGCAAATCATTTAGTATATAACTTTTGTCTAATTATTTTATACATGTCACTACAATAACACATTTCACATGATATTTGTTGTATAACAAAACACCGGTAATTTCCAACCATTATTCAGCCTATAAGATTTCTCGTGAGGAGCATAATGATCCCACTTGGCGCCATTGCCCTCTTTAAACTCTTCTTCAAACCATTATTCAACCAATTAGCCATTGTCGCTAATTGGCTCGTGGTTATGACACATTGAGCCGAAAGTAATAAATTCAGTTGAACTCATACNTATATATATATAATTGTTGCCCTTATAAAAAATGGCAACGTAACGTGCTCATTCATGTTTTGTTACGTTGCTTGGAATTTTCAATTTTGAATAATTAGGAGGAGATGATGGCAATCTAGCTGTAAAATTCCTCGGGGGAAAGTCCTCAGTGTCATCAAAACTTGTTTCATTACTGTCCTCAAAATTCTTGGCATAACTGAGTTGATCATAGCTAAAATCTGCAGAAGAATGGCGACGATGTCGACCAAATCGATTCATAATATTCTTACATTTCACTTTTATCTGATCTGGAAAATGATCATGATGATTTTTCGAACGAATCCACGATTGATTAGGAGATTTCTTTAATTTTGGCACCTCATGTGTAGAAGACGATGAGGAGGAATCATGAGAAATATTATAGTTGCTCGAGAAAAAACATGAAACACTTGATGATCTTCTGTGTCTAGTAATACTCCTAAATGATGAGCTCTCTTTCTCATTCTCATTCTCCATTGACATGGACAAAGAAAAATGTTAACTTTTCTAGTCAAGCAATCAATTAAAGTGTAACCTAGGCAATGAAAAAGGGGCCCGATATATACTTCATCTAGAGGAGCGACTAGTTGGTTCATTAAACCCTAACGAAATATCTAATCCTCCTTTTCTCTGTCTGGTGTGGCTTTAAATTTTGTTGTACCTTTCCATTCAGGCAATAGCATATATTGCATGCTCTAAAGCAAGCGGGCTTCGCTTGTAATAGCCTCTAAATTAATCGACTAGCTTCTTTACGGCGCGTTAAAGCATAAACTGCTTTAATAAATTACATAGAGTGATCGCCAAAAACTATTCGCAAGGTTGTACACACGTGAAAAAGTTGAAGCTTTCTGAAAATGGAGAACCCGGAATCGTTTCAATACTAAATATATTTGGTTTACATGAATTCTTTATATTCGAATTGATGTTTTTTTTTTGGAAAAAGGGAAGATCGAGCTTTTTTTGATGAAAAGGAAAGGAATAAAAAGTTTAGAAGAAATTAAGGAGTTTGAGATGATTGGAGATGAATGCATATATGGGCATGTGACCTGCTTGCAAGGTTAATATTGAATGTAGAATGTGTCAAATTGCTAACATAAAATATGTTACTTTAAACATCCTCAACACTTGGATGGTTATACGTAAATTAAGGATAGATCTATCAAAATTCCATGTCTACTTTTGATACATTTAAGTTCACATATAGTTTTTTCTTTTCACTCTTTTAACGAGAAAGGGAATGGGGAAAAGATTCAACTAAAGTAATTACATTGCACATAATCTCTAAACTTAGTTGATGGTGGTTGTTACGATGTATTGGCGCGATGTCCTAAATCATATCCTAATAAACCCAAGCTTGTATGCGAAAGAGAAGAGAGCGTGTAGATAATATATTGTCTTTCGTATATTTTAATCGTATACCGTATATCTATTTATATTGGAGCAACTAGTTAACAGTAATTTATTTATTTATCCAAGTGGGCCTTAGGAGCAACTCTTATATGGGTGGACTCTTTTACCAACATTTCTGTTAACACATTTGGTCGCTTGGTAAAAATATTTACAACCGCTAACCAATTTGACTATATAGACTTGTCTCGACTAATCAAGCCCCAAAGTGCACATAAAAAAAGCTATCTATATATACTTTTATGGAAGACTTTAACACTCATGCTTAAAACTCATTGGCTTATTATCTAAGTGCAAGAGAAAAAAAAGAAGTCAAAATGTCTTTCAATTTAACGTCTCAAAATGCCTATAATGTATAATTGGAATTAGGAAACCCCTTTCTGATTTTCTCCAACTCTTTCTTCTAATATCATAATATGACCATAAATTACATGACCCTTATGTCACAATGAGTATTATCTCTTCATCATGGGACGTGCAAAATGATTCCAGATGTCGTTCCTATTTGAAGGAAAGGATGATATATGACACTCCCATTCTTCTGTCCCTCCTTTTTCTCATTCTTCTAAAATCCACGAGTGGATATATATGGACTTTGTCATATTTCATAATTCGTGATTGCTATTTTGCTCTTCACCTTTCACCGCTAGAAATTCGATAAAAACCGATCGCGGCCGATCGATCGATTTTGGTCGATCAAAAAACAGCCAAAACCCAACTAAAGTCGGTCGGTTTTTCAAAATATTTTATTTTATAATTTTTTTACGAAACCGACAAATTTTGGTCTGTTTTCTTTGGCGCAAAAATGCGGGAAACTAATTTTGGGTCCCGCGAAATTAATTTTTCAAGAAACCGATCAACTTTGGTCGATTTTTTATATAAAATAAATTAAAATTAATATTAAAAAAATGACTGGAATCGATCGGTTAATTCGGCTGGTCATTTTAAGAAACCAACCGAATTCAGTCGGTAATTTTATTTTTTAATAAAACCGACCGACATCGGTCGGTTATTTTCGTGTAAAAATATAATTAAAGAGTATAAATGAAATAAAAGACAGTCTTAAAACAAAATGCACCAATGGTCTAGTGGTAGAAGAATATCCTGTCACAGTACAGACCCCGATTCAATTTCTAGATGGTGTATTTTTAATTACATAATTAAAATACCGACCGACTTGGTCGGAGTTTTTTCAGCAATTTTTTTTGAATTTAATTGACTGACCGAAATCGGCCGAAAAATACCGACCAAAGTCGATCGGTTAGTAGTGTCTATCACTTGTTATCATGCAACCAGTGAGAATGAGATGTTCCACAATGCAATAATTTTGATTTTTTTTTCCAGATTTAACATTAAATCCAGCTATAGCTAGTTCATGATAATGGTAAACAAGTCAATAGATAACTCCACTAATGCAAACTCGGGCATGTACTTAATACTTTGAGTCTCTCACCATGATTTGTCTACGCCTAGAGTGAAAACCCAGTATCTTCTGTGCTCCTTTCGAAAATGCGATTGCAAAAGAACTTTATACTTCTTTTCCTTTGGTTCAAAACCTAATGAATAGTTAGTTACCCAGAGAAAACTCCATTTAGGTAGGGAAGAAATCTCACTTCTCTTGTACTGGGATTGGAAATTGTAGCAGGTTGCACAAATATTAGTATCCAAAAGTAAAATAAACCATTAATCAATCTGAATAAGGATATACAGGAGCACGGTTGTAGAGTGCATCAAATCTCTCAGTTTGAAGAAGGGAGGCTTTACCATATTCCTCCTTTTGCTCAAAAATGTAAAAAACTCCCCGGTCCGCCGTGTAGAAAGAACTATGTTCCACCAGGACGAGTCCTAGAGTGACATTTATGAATAATTAACACACGTTCTCCTCTTATAAGTGGAGAAGGATAGAGCGCAGGCCTATAGCCAGCTAACTATGTGAGCTTCAAACCTTGTGCTAGCTGACCATCAGAGAATTTCTTGGTTTTAGAAAAACAGTTTAAGTTTTATGCCAGTATAAACAATACTTATGCAATCAGGTCACTTTGCATGGCATTGATAATATCCCGAAAACTATGATATTTATCTTTATGTTCTGCCACCTCATCTTCCTCATTTTTGTTCCTTGTGTCCAGGAAATCTTGTGCATGCTATAAGATACAATTTCATGCTATATTACTTGATCACATGAAAGAAAAATTAGCAAAAGAAATGCAACAGAGGCATAAGTTCAAACAGAAGTAGGGCTGATATATTTTCCAGAATATTTGAAGAATTTCATAACAACTACGTGCTTGAGAAAAATCAGGGGACTATGTTAATAATGAGATATATTAGTGAAATATATGTGCTTAATTTTGGGTTGCTTTCAGTAGGATGATTCACAAAATCAACGGGCTGTAATGTTTAAATGGATCAGGGGGTTTATAAATTTGATAGAGGCAAACTTTCTTCTCTCAAAATTTCTCATATTCTGTATGTAGATGACACTGGTAATTGTTATGACGAGGAAGAGGCAAAGCCGAATATAAAGAAGATAAAGAACACCAAATTTTAACGTGGAAAACCCTTCAAATCTAAGGTAAAAATCACGGGATCACAAAGATCCAAAAAGCTCTACTATAACAATAAGAGGGTTACAAAAGTTCTCCAAATTGGCTACACAACAAGTGTCAAACATGGAGTAACAATAGCAACAACTAATCAATTGAAGAAAGAGTATAATTCACAAAATGAAGCTGCTGTTCGAGGCTCGAAATCGGATGCTACGAGCCACCAAATCCGATCTCCACCAAAATCTAAGATCAAGATGTTACGAACACTCAATCAAAATTGCAGCCCGATCCAACGGTTAACGAATCGGACAACGTGATTTGAATATTGGCTGATCGGAATAAAAATCTGCAGCAAAACAAATATTTTTCTTCTCTCTTTTCTCTTGACGAAAGCTCTCTCAAAAACCACTCTTATATGCTTAAGTCTTTCAAAAACTTGTATCAATGAGCATAGAATAATTCTCTAAGGTTGTCCTATTTATAGATCATGAGTGGTGCTTTCTCTTAAAGCCAAAACCTACTCAAAATAGGAATAAACTGAATCCAATTCCAAATAGGAATGGAAACCAAAAGAGAATAGGATTAGGACATTGGGCCTTTGGCTGGACAACATTGCCATGAGCCCAATAAACTCCCCCTCCAGCCAAGGGGCCAAATGTGTCTTTAAGTAGAGGAACTATTGATCTGCCAATTTTCTACAAAATTCATGTTTATCTGCAACCACCGCCTTTGTCAGCATATCCGAAGGATTTTCATCCGTGTGTATCTTCTCAACCTCAAATAATTTCTCTTCCACATCCATTCTTATCTAATGATACTTTCTATTTATATGTTTGGTCTTAGAATGAAAAGTGAAGTACTTGGTGAGACAGATAGCACTCTGATTATCACAAAATAAGATGTACCCTGGCTGCTCAAAGCCAAGATCATTAATAAACTCTTTCATCCATAATAGTTCTTTGGCACCTTTTGTGACAGCAATATATTCGGCTTCTGTGGTGGATAAAGCTATGCACTTCTGTAGTCTAGATTGCCAAGAAACAACTCCACTTGCAAAAGTGATCAAATAACCGGAAGTGGATCTTGAATTATCAAGATTGCCTCCTAAATAAGAGTCTGTGTAAAAAATAATTTCAGGCTTTCCATTGCCAAAACACAGCTTCAAATCTGCAGTACCTTTCAAATACATTAATATCCATTTTACTGCATCCCAATGTTCTTTTCCAAGATTAGAAAGGAATCTACTAACAGTACCAACGGTATGTGCAATATCTGGTCTAGTGCAAATCATAGCATACATCAAGCTACCAACGGCAGAAGAGTAAGGAATACGAGACATCTCCTTTTTCTCTTCATCAGTAGATGGACTCTGACTAATACTCAATTTGAAGTGTTTATCAAGAGGAGTACTAACCACTTTTGCATATGTCATATTGAACCTCTTGAGTACCTTCTCAATGTATTGCTTTTGGGATAGAAATAACTCCTTTCTATCTTTCTGTCAGTGGATTTGAATGCCCA